AAAAACTGCATCACTGAAAGAAAACGTTGCTAATACTTCTCCTATGGGGTCACTATACTTTTTACTATAAAATTACATTTTCCTATGGTAATTTTCCCATCCTCTTCTGATTCATCTTCTGCAACATTTCTTATCACGTGACTAGAGTTCACTGACTGACTGACTCAGTCAGGCTTTTCTACAGCAGCAGCTTTATCAGCTCCGGGTGACTCAGCATAACCCTTAATATTCAGTAATGCTACTGGAAAGAAATGAATGACTTGCAATCCATCCCAGTAGATTAACTCCGCTAGTTATTAGGATTGGAGAAGAGTTGAGAAATTACTTGGAAATATTTTGCGATATTCATTTCTACTTTTTTTACTAAAGCTCTTTAATACTTGGGCATAGGCTACCTTCATATACATTTATTAAAGGAATAAACAATCCATCCATCATGCATAACACGAACATCTATAAAGAGTGCAACAGAATGCATTGTTACCGTTTTGAGCAACATAGCTAAAGTTCACAACTGTGGCTTTGCTATCTCAGTTTTAATTCTCGCTGTAGAATACTGTTCTCTGCTGTAAAAACAGTTCTGAACACGATATGATTAACCTTAGGGTCCCCCATCCCTTCATCTCAAAGCCCACCTCGCACATGGCCTATGCTTTCTATTCATGTTCAACCATCTGATTTCCATATCATCCTGCTCACCCTCGCAAGCCGCTATTAGCATAACAGAGCTTTAGTGTGACATTGATTGAAGCCAGTGCTCGCTGAATGCAGTATCAAAGCATAATTTGCCAGAAATCAAATCTAATTTACTGTGTACTGTATTTAAATTTCTAAAAAAAAATGTTTCAATAGCAGTGCGCTAGGTCTGTAGTCTTAATTGTTCTTTTTTCGTATTTTTGTCTAGTCCCCTAGAATCCAAACAATATATTTCCTTTTAAAACCATTGTCTTTGACTTTCAAATGTCAATTAAACGAGAGTTTTTCCACTCTGCTTATTCCAATCCAGTTAATGTTACATCCAAAACAATGAAGGGTAATAATTTGATAGGCACAACACTTGGTTTGCTGCTTCATGACAGGTTTTTCAACAGATTTTTCTAATCTCCTTAATATTTAGGTGAATTAAGCATTAAACTAGTACATAACTTTCATAGCTGAAGCCTTTCAAGCCTGCCATTCTTTCTCTTACTGTAGCTTTTCAAAATATTTTTTAAATTCACCCACTTTTAGAGCGGCAATAATGACTTGGATTAGGTTTTGTCCCTGGTTCTGTTGATGCTGGACTTTGAGCAAGTCATGATCTTCTGCCTCAGTTACCCTTTTTGTAAATGGGAGTATTAATATTTATTTACTGTTATAAGGAGCATCTATATATGCAGATAATTAGTTCACTTTTTAGTAAAACTGAAGACAGCCCAGGTGCTTATTCTGTCAAATAAGCCTTGCTATCTCTGAACGCGGTCACATTCCCTGGAGATAAAGGCAGTCTTGCTGCTTTGGTAGTTATATTTGACCAAGAATTTTTCCTGCAAGTATTAACTGTTACTATCAGTTGTGAATTAGCATTAGTCAACTGGAATATGATAGATAAAACTGACACAGTGAAAACATTGTTTAAATTCTGTAAACAATGTCATTATCAGAGGATGTCTGTTAACGGAGCGATAGCTGAGTATAACAACAAGCTGGAATAAAAAGGGGCTTCCATTTAAACTCCTCTTCCAATGAACAAAAAATATGTACAAGATTTTATTTTCCTAAAATGATGTTTTTATGGTCTTTAAAATTATAGTATTGAATAGTTTGGCAGGAGGAGTTGGCATTGTGCTCTAATTATAAGTAGTTACTACTAAAAGCCAACTCCTCTTGATATCTTGAGATTATGTTCAAATTAAAGCTTTCATGGTTTCATTTTTATAGTAAATTTCTAGTATTCATTGCTAGAGAGAAAAGCTAGAAAACAGATCTCTGCATAGCCATATATCATTATTTACCTGAGTCTTTAGAAATCTAAAGTCCTTAGAAATCTGAACTTTCAGTCCTGAGGGCCATGGATCTGCTGTTCACCTAGAATGAAGAATGCTGGAGAGGACTTTGTGCCTAGCAGGGAGAGACTAGAGCAAAAGGTTACTCTACCTCATTTGGATCATCCGTACTAAGCCTTTGTTCTTGCTAGTTCACTATTTTTCTCTCTCTTTTTGCAAAAGAAGGGATCATTTTTCTGCTTGGAGGAAAGTGGGGGAAGTTCAAAGTTAGGGGTAGGTTAAATTTTAAGTAGGAACTAGGAGATTTGTCTCTATTGTGCCTTGACTAACCAAGTTGCCTTACTTTGGTCCTTGGAAAGTCTGCTACAGGAACAAGTTCAGACCTGTTACCTCTACTCAGCGCTTTGAGTCATGGACTTACAGTACAGCCTTGTGTGTGTCAGAATGTTTCAGACGAACCCTTAAACTTATGTACCTTGCATAAATGCAGCTGTGTGGTTTGAAAGGTTATCTCATAGAAATTCCATGCCCTTCTTCCCTCTGTTGAGCTCTCTCAGAGCACCGTCTGCATAACATGACCCCAGTTCACCAAGCTTAGGCATTAATCATGCTCAGGCATGATCTATGGGATGGAGTCCTGCCACCATGTTTTTTGCCTCAGATTAGAGAGATTATGTCCTTGAGGCCACCCATAATGCAGCATAGACATAGGACTCTAATGCACAGTTTCTGTCAGATGCAGACCTAACACCTGAAGAAACTAGAGGTTTTCTACTCTCTCCTCTGCCTGAGGTTGCTATTGATTGTATATTAATATCCTGGGCAAAGAACTTTGAGACTGAGCAGCAAACACTGAACTAATTCAGTGACCTTTATTAAATGTGTGGTCAGAACTGTAGAGGTAGCTTAGTGTAAAGTATGCCTGTAGCAATGGAGGTTTCAAATCCGCAGCTAAAAGATCTCTCTCTTTCGCTTTTCCTTTCCGTGCAGTTGAATGAACAAGTGTGTGTGTGTATTTTTACATTACTTCTTTCCAGCACCTGTAGTGACTGCATCCAAATAAAACAAAGTGAGGGAAAAACAAGTAACATGGCTACAATTCAGCACTTTAGGAATAATATAGACCAAGTTGAGATCCCGGAGTATGTGTAGCAACACCTATGCTCTTACAGAAGCCTCAGAATGTATGTTTTTAAATGGTGCAGGAGTGGGAGCCTGACGCCTTTGTCCTGAGCCTTTCAGAAGTTTAACAGCTGCTGAGGCACTGGGAAGAGGCAGAAGCTTCTCGCTCTGGAAAGGCCAAAAACTATGCTCAGGAGTACGAGACAGAAAGAAGACTCTTTGTATTGTCTTCACCCTCCACCTCCTAAATCGACAGCTAGTCAGGTTGATCAAGGGCCTTACAATTCTTATTTTAGAGTGCATTTTATCAGTGCTATTCAGCTTGTGCTCTTTAGACTCCTGGTGATCTGTAAAGCCTCAGGAAGTAACTCACAAAATAGCTGCAAAGTGTATTTCAGAGTATCAAATCTGCATAAATTTCTATGCAGTTGGCAGATCTGCGTCTGTGCTTGTCAGCAGGTGTAATCGGAAGCTGGGTCTTGATTGCTCTTCGTACCTAATTAAACAGTTTGTAATTATAATGGTGAAAATATAGTTTTCTAAAACACTTAAATTTTGTTTACCTGAAATCTTAGTAGTTCCTAAACCATCCCTCTCCGCAACTACCAAAACAATAGTGGAATAGAAGAAAACCCATGGGTTTTGTTCCTTCCTCATCCTGCTCCCAGAAGTTAGCTGGTCTTTTGTTAAAAACATCTGGAAAAAATGCTTACACTTTTAAGTTATGCCACATACTATAAATCCAATTCCAGTGAACTCCAGTTGTGAGACAAGTTTGGATGGTTTGCATGTCATGCATAGAAAAGTCATTTGCTTTATCACATCACGCTCAATACAATCTCTAATGTCAAGCTTTTATCTCTAATATTCCACCACTACTTCCTCCTCACTTCCTTCTGCACATTAATTCATTTTCTTTCTTTCCTGCTCCCCATCCATTGGCTCCATTGGCTGCCTTTTCTCAATCAATACCCCCAGACAAATAACATCACACCTCTCTTTTTGAAACTGCTCACTTTTAACTGTACTTCCTGATCCGTTATGTTTAGACACTGTTAACACCATCTACTTCAAAACCTAGGCAGTCCTGGCTTTTCTTTCTTGTTTTAACTCTACTTTCTCTGTTTTTCTTTCCCTTATCTCTTCCTAATCTCCTGGAATACCTGTTCCTTCTTACTCACTGCTCCCTGCTGCCCACTAACACTTCAACTCTTGCTTCTTTCCAGTCTTTCCACAAACTGAAATCTAGTTCTTCCTTCTTCATGTTCTACAACTTCATGTTGTATTAGCAGCCCTCCTTTTCTTAGCAAGTCCTCTTTCTCACTCCCTTCTTGCCCGTTCTACCCCGAAGAGACCTGAGGGAGCCTTAGACTTCTGTCCTTCTTCTGTCATCCAGACCTTCCTTTCCATTCTCAATCATTTTTGAAAGTCTAGAGGGGCAAACTGAAAAAGAAAGTCTGTATATTCTAATTCATACACTGCAACACAGAAAGCTGTGCTAGCTCCATCAGAACAACGAGCTCTGTGAAATGCTGATACCTGTCCAGACATTTCTTAAGGAGGAGTTAGAGTTCATCCCGACCCTGCATCATACAGGCCTGACTGCTCTTCCTTTGCATTTGTTGTCATCAGAGTTTACACTAATATATATGTTTGTAAGGTTTCCTTTTTTTCTTCTATTCAGCTGGGGAGATCATATACTGATATTGCTGCTTTTTTTTTGGTGCTGTTATTCTTGTTTATATATTAATTCTGTCTGTCCTAATTAGTATATCTGGTGTTATGTCCTCAGGCATAAAATAATAATACATAATATTGTCTCTTTCCTTCAATATTCTTCATCTCCCCTTGGAAAATATCCTAAATTTACACTGGGTTTTTCTTACATTGTAGCTCCCCCACAGTTTGTGGTGAGACCACGAGACCAGATTGTAGCCCAGGGTCGAACAGTGACTTTTCCTTGTGAAACTAAAGGAAATCCCCAGCCAGCTGTTTTTTGGCAAAAAGAAGGAAGCCAGGTAAGTTATAAGCACACTACGAGCCTTTCAAGCCTTTCTAAACAGTTAATTGTATTTAAATCTTTAAGAAAGTTCTCTGTATTACCTTTCATAAGTTCTTGTCATCTTTTGCAGAGATCTTGTCTTTCAAACTGTTACTATCCTCTACCAACATTTTTGTTGCTTTTTTTTTCTTTTTAAAATGTTAATACTGTGAAGAACTCAAAGGCCATTTAAGTTGGTGTAACTTGTGCTAGGTGCTCTGTAAAGGCAACAGTATATACCTCAAAGACTTTTCATTCTGGAGCACCCAAAAACAGGTGGATGAGATGAACATGGCAAGGTATGACTTTTAACTAATTAGAGTCAGTAATTACAATTCACAACCTGTCTAGATATGATCAAGCAGTTATACGTCTAGCAAACTGATTTGCATAGCTGTATTCTCACAGTGCATACAAATATAGGTTTTAAAGACACAGCTGGTTTCTTCAGTAAAATTGTTTCAGGAAATTTCCATTTTTTGAAATATTTCCCTGATTCCTTAATGTCATTTTGAAAGCAAAATTTCTGATATAGCCATTAATCTTACCATCAGCCAGTACTAACTTTCATATTTGAGTGTCGCACCATAAGACTTTTTTTACTACTGTTGCTCTCCTGGCACTATGTTACGTCAGAAGTCAGTCCTTCTCACTTTCCACATGCGGTTCACGCAAGTATGTTACACTGGACATTGTAAACTATGCTCTATATTCTCCTTTGCACCTGATCTCTGTACAACACAGGAGAAAAGATGAATAGGGACAGTTTAGATGTCCAAGGACGGTGCTTTTGCAGTTCTTTGATGAAGCCTGTCGTGTCTATGCATCTGTACTGCCTGCCATTCTCCTTTGGCTAAATGAGTCTTTTCAGAGCTCTGTGCTGCTTTTCCCGTTTGGTCATATGTGAGTTAACTCAAGTATCCATGCTGTGCTGTGCAGCACAGAGATGCTTTTTGTCTAATCCGGAGGCCTTGTGTGTACCAAGTCAGTTAAAACACGAGACAAGAACTGAACCCTAGATCTGCCCCCCTGCCCCGTCTACTTCTGCTTCATTTTCTCATGAGTTCAGTCAATGGGTCAAAAAGTGGCCTTTATTTCTGGCTATAAGTTTTGAGGACCTGATCCTGAATTCAGATCTGCATTAGTGCATTCGTACACACTCAGAAAGAGCCAGCTTAAAGTCATTAGGGGCGAGAACAAAGGTTCAGTTACAGACCAAGGCTGACAATATTCCGTACTGTGTTGCATTACTGCTTACAGA